GGAGCAGGGAGAATGTCACTCAAAGACTAGATGTGCCCAGCATGCATAGTGTGTGTTTATTTTGTGTGTGTGTGTGTGTGTGTGTGAGAGAGAGAGAAAGAGAGAGAGAGAGAGAGAGGGCGAGAGCACTGAGATAGCAGGGGCATCTCCTCCTCCAGCTTGCCCTCAGTCCATTAGCCCTTGACCTCAGATATACTTTAAGCTGCTATATGCTCAGGGCCCTGTGCTGAGTACCCACCACAAGCTGAAGAGAGTGACACAGAATTAGACACAGTTTCAACCCTTGGGGAAGAATTTCCAGAAACATGTCCCAGAGGCCCTACTGGGTGGGCTGTTTGGAGAGGTGTAGGGGGAGTCAAGATTCCACCCAGGCTTTGAGGAAGGCATTATCTCTGATCTGGTACGTGGTAGGCACTGCACTGATATTTGGTAAAATGAAGGGAGGGGAGCAATAAGCAGGCATTCAAACAAGGGGTGAGCACTCTGTGGGGTTTGACAGTTCCCTAGTCAGAGCTGCTCCTGGGGTCTCTGGCCATTCCAGATTTGCCAATGAGAGTGCTGGATTTGGAAGCCCCTGAGTCTAAGCAGACCTGGATGTTTGGTCACCCCAGCTTCTCCTCCACTTGGAAAAGTACTCCTAGGACCTTCCCTCTTGGGACTGGCCTATGTCCTCCTTTTTTCCTTCTTCCCTGCCCAGCAGGGTCTCCTCTCAAGTCTCCTGGGCCTAGCCCTGCCCCAGCCATGACCCCCCAGCCTGACCTGTGGGGCTGCCCACTTCCCTTTCACTCGGCCACTCAGATAAGGAGACTGGAAACAGGTTTGCCCTTTCACCTCTGCATATCTCTCTGCAGAGCCCTGGATCCCCACATCCTGGGTCACATCCTGTGAGGCCCCCATGCCCAAGGCTGCAGGCCAGCAGCCCAAGGCTTTAGGTGGGAAAGGAGTGTGGGGACAAGGGCAGCACAGAGCATGGCCCTTGGGGGATGGGCTTCTCCCCATTTTAGCTGAGGACAGTCCAAGTGCCTGCACTACGCACAAGAGCTGGCTGAACAGGGTGGCTGAGCTGACCCATCCCTCCGCAGAATTTTGACTGACATTCTTGATGGAATTGGCCGGATGTTTCCCCTTCACAAAAGACATGGCCTGGAGCAAGACAGCTGTGCCTTCCCCAACCCAGCTGCAGCTGGAGATGCTGAGAACCCAGAACCCACACTTCCTACTTTCGGGATAACATCACTGGGCCAAAAAGGTCTTCAGAGAAGGGGTCTGGGGGCCTCTATGGGGTCCCAAGAGGGTCAGCACGACTTGCATATGACTATTGTCTGCTGTCTGCCCTCTGTCATCTGGAGCTCTGCTGTCTGCTTGGATCTGCAGACTCCACGCTGACATTCTCGTCTGATACCGGCAGCAGTGCTGCGTGGATCACCTAATTCCCAGATGCACTTAGTGTGTGGCCAGGTGCAGCTCAAGGCACCGAGTCATGCCAATACCCTTTCCCATTTCTGAGTTGGGCACTGAGGACATTGTCCAGAGCTTTCTTCCCTGTGAGATAGAAATGTCATCAGATATGATTTGTATTCAGAAGGGTGTTTTGTTGTAACCTTTGTTGACTTTGCCAACTTTGTTGTAATCGTTGCTGCCACCAATTCATGACATTGGAAGGGGATTGGTGGGTGTAATTGGTAACGATTTCAGTTTTGTGGCCTTGAAATAGTAAGAACTGAACACAGAATTTTCTCGTTCGGTGCAATCCCATCACACCTACTAGCAAAGCACCAGCATGGAAGAAGGGATGTTACTCACCCATGGCCTGCAGGGGGCAGTGAAGGGAAAGGATGTTTCCACCCTTAACCTTTATGGGTGGTTTATGTCTTTATGAGCTTTGTGTGTGAAGACGAGGCTCAGGGCTCATATTTTTGTTTCTGCATCTTTTAGAGTCATCTTTTCTGGAATTTAATCATTTGAGTAGAACCTGTAGGATTTCGGTCACATCAGAATGCTGCTTGTAACTATTAACATTTTTAACTGACTGGATAGACACACACACACATACACACACACACACACACACCCCTTTTGAAAGTAAACTTTACATCCTTGCCATAAATGGAATGCTAGTAGCAGCTGCCATAAACAGAAAGAAGCTATAAACAAAATGAAAAGATAGCAGTGCTATTACATTGTAGCTAGGGTTGCTTGTAGAAGGCTTTCCATCTCAGATTTGCCCTCCTTTCTTAAGCAGGAATATTGGCAAATGTTAGGGGTGTCCCTCCTGTCCAATTTGCTGCATCTTTGGGAACCGGATGCAGCTATTATTTGAAGGGCACATTGTAATCGTATAGGGAAGAGAACTGGCGAGGGATGCTTTCCTTATTCTGCATCCAGGGCACCATCTAAGATTATCTACAGTTCCGCCCAGGAATTCTGAGCTGCCCCTGGGTCTGTCTAGGAGTCTTCCCCTGGCCACTGGCCTGGAGGTCCTCTCTCAGCTGGTTCCTGAGCATTCCGCCACCAGATTTCTCCTTCACGGCAGTTGGAATCCTTTGCACACGGGGAGGAACGAACAGGGATGCTGGAGATGAGGGTGCTGGCCTTTGATGGTGCCAGAATAGTCCAGCCTTAATGAGACAATGCTGGTGGGATCCACTTTGCTCTGTGGAGTCATAGGGACTTTTCTGTAAAGAGTCTGAGGCAACCCCAAGCTGGAGCGCCGCAGAGAGCTGGGGCTGTGCTTCCTGCTGCTGCTGCTCCTGATGCGATAGTCTCTGTCCTGCCTGCTTCTGGACTGTGTGTCCGGCTGTCCGTTTGTCTTGTCCCCTCGTGGACCTAATGGTACCTTGGCCATCACATGTTCAAACTGAGCCAAAGCCTCGACTCCCTACAAACGTGCTGCTCTGCCAGTCCCCTGTCTCGGTAGGGACACTACACCTGCCACTGCCAGCACAATGCCAAGAAGCCCATGTGGCCCCTTTCCTTTCTTCACTGTGCAGGCCCAGCCCATCTACCTGGCCTGGCTCCACCTTCTGAATCTGTCTGGAGTGGAGTCACTTTCTGGGGCCTGCCCCACCATCTCTTGCCCAGACTCCCACTGTGTCTTCTAGCTGGTCTCTGTCCCTCCTCATTTTCTACACTTTTGAATATTTAAATCAAATCTTATCTCCCTTTGGCTCAAAATCCTCCCATGGCTTCTCAGAACAAAACTCAAAGTCCTTCCACAGTCAGGGCCTTACCCACCTTTCCTTTCCCTCATACCTGCTACGCAGGGCTCTACACACTCCAACCGTGAAGACCTCTTTTTATTGCTTTTACACTCCATCCTGCCTCAGGGCCTTTGTTCCTGCTGTTTCCTCTGCCTGGAGCACACTCTCCCTCTTTCTCACACCTCACCCCTTCCCTCAGTTCAGGCAGCGCCTCGGTGAGGTCTCCAGACCATCCTGAGATGGCTTCTTCCCCACCCTGCTCTAACACCTTACCCCTGCTTTATTTTTCCTTGTAGCTCTTATCGCTATTGACATTGTTTGTCTGAGCCCGTCATTATTTCTTCCTTTTTGAAGGATAATTTCAGCAGAGACAGAATTCTAACTTGGTGGGTTTTCTTCTTTCAGCATTTCAAATATTCCCTCTCATCCTGCCTGTTTGGTGTCTAAAGAGAAGTCTGATGCAATCTTTGTTCCTCTGTAACTGAAGTTTTTCCTCCTCTCTGGTTTCTTTCAAGATTTGCTCTGTCTTGATTTTCTATAGTTCAAATATGATCTGTACAAGTATCTGGTATTTACCCTGCGTGGTGTGTTTTTGTTGCCTTTGTATTATATATTTCTTTATTTGCTTGTTTGCTGACTGCCTTCCACATGAGAATGTAAATCCAAAAGGACAGGGACTTTGCCTTTGTAGTCCTCAGTGGACAGTGTTAGGAGCCAGTGTCATTCAGTACATGTTTGTTGAATAAAGAATAAATGATCAAATATAGACTGGCAAGTTTGTATAAAAAATCAACCTTAGTGTAACTAACACTCTAAAATATGTCCTGTTTCAGCGTCTTTATTTGTTGCTATTTCATATGTCCATATAAAGTCATCAGCTGGACTTCGTAGAACTCTATTAGCAGAAATGACCAACTACGTACTATGGTCGCACACTCTAGGATGGTTTTCACATATGCTAACCCATTCACTCCTCACCAGAACTCTTTAAAGTAAAATTACGTAAGAAATTATTTAGGAAAATTAGTTTCCTCATTCTAGATATGAGGAAACTGAGGCACAGAGAAGCAAATACCTCGTTTAAAGTCACACAGATACCAAAAGATACAGCTAGATTTTGAACCCATAAAATGTGGCCCCTCAGCCATTAACCCAACCTCTGACTTCTGCCTGTACTTCCCTTTCATTGAGGTATAACCAGAGTGCACCAATGCCAAGTACATCGCACAAGAAATTTCTGTGTACATTTTGCCCCTTGGGTAGTCACTTCCCAGACCTGGAAATGGAACCTGGCCTGTGTGCCCCAGGCCTTCCAGTGTCCCTTCCAGTCAGTTCTCCCCAAAGTGACCACTGGTCTAACTTCTACCACTGTCAGTTTATATTGGAAAGGACCATCTTTCCTTTTATCCTCTTTATTCTTTCTTTTGACTTTTATATGGTTCTGGGGATTGAACCCAGGTACTCATGTTTCTAGGAAAGCACTCTACCACTGAACTACATCCCTAGCTTCTTTTTTTTTTTAATGGTGCTAAGATAAGCTTTCTTTCACTTGTTCTTTAATGCCCTTGCTGTGTAAATGAAAAGCAAGGAAACTAAAATATAATTTCATGGTTGGTTAATACCAAATTTGGGAAGCAGCACATTAGAATCCCTACCTCAGGTCCCACTTGCTCTGAGGTGCCTTCCTTCCTGAGTCTGAGGGAAAGGTGAGCTGTTTGGGGACAGTCACGCATGCTTGTAGGAGTGCTGGCCTTGGCAGGTGCATAACACACTTGCTGATGGGTGGGTGGAGGAACTTACCATCTGCAGTAGATGATGTTCTTGCCCTTGAAAGGTTCCTGGGCACCGGCTTCCCCCTGTCTGGGGAGGAGGCACTGCCGCCAGCTGTGGTCGGATGCCCCTGACTGCCAGGCATCGTTGCCATCTCGGGCTGACTCTCAGTGCCCCCATCCGTACCCACGCAGATGCATCATCCGCGTGACCTTTCCTACACTGTGGCCCGCCTGCCTGGCTTCTTCCGGAAGGCCTGGCCCCCTCCACAGGGCCTGCATCTGCCTCTGGGCTTCCTCCTTCTCCTGCTTGGGGCTGGGTTGGGTCAGTCCAGGATCAAAGTTTTAGGGATGTCACAGTGCAGGAATGAGAGCTTTCATGGGAGGGGGCACACAGCTCAGAGCAGAGAGAGAAATCCACAGACATTTCTTTGCCCTTGAAAGCCCAGAATGCTCTGTGGTCCTGGTCGTTCCATATCTAGTGCTCTCTCTCACTCCTTCTCTCTCTCCCTCTCCTCCCTCTACTTTCCCCATCTCCCTCTGCCTCCCTCCCTCCTTCCATCCTGTTTTTCCTCCCCTCTTTCCTTCCTCTTTCCCTCGTGGACAACTGGATAAGGACAGTAACAGCTGGAAGGTCTTAATTTCAGGTCTGCCACTTGCCCCCAGCCCCGTCCCCAGTTTCTCCCTAAGTCTTCGAAATTCTCTGAAATACCTGAGACTGAAGGTATATTTATGTTTTGACAAATATAGTAGAGAAGAGGGAGGCATCAAGGGAATGAAAGAGAAGGACCTGGAGTACAGACACAGAACAGGGTACCAGGATGTGATGGAACAGAGGTTTCTATGGAAGACACAGTCTCTTCCCAGGTTACAGCTCCTAGGGATCCAGTGTGCACACGGTCTGGCAAGGGCCAGGTATCCCTGGCTTTGCTCCTGGAGACTGTTGAGGAGCAAAGTTTTATAACTTTGGAGTGGAGTTACGGAAGAATTACTGTGACCCTTGGCTAGCGCTGCTCCTTTGACTCTACCCGCCCCATGCAGCCAAGCTGGTCACAAGCTCCAAAGTTCCCCAGCCTCCCAAAGAGGGGCCAGGAGGCGCAGGACCGGGATGGAGACTGAGGACCCAGCCCTATATTTCTAGGACCCCCACCTGCCCCCAGACCAAAGGCTGCCGCTCTGCTGCAGCTCTGTCCAGCACCCACTCAGAACTTCATAAGCTCAGCCTTCACAATTCCCAACCTCCCCATTCCCGGGGCCCTTCCCTGGGTGTCAGCAGCAATTTCCTGACAGGCCTGGTGATAGGAGCCTGTGTTGGCCCAGGGGAAACCCAACGCCATGGTGTCAGCAGCTGGTGTCCCTTGGTGTCTGAGAACGGGGCTGAGATTGTGCAGAGCTGAACAACCCAGAGGGTGGGTGGATACTACCTCCCCTCTTCCATGGCTCCCCTGTCCCTTCCACACTTACTGGAGGCGGCTGTGCCCAATCCTCCTGTGCCAAGGACCCTAGAAAAGACCTCCTTTCCCCACTTCATAAGCCGACCAGATGGGAAAGAAATCACCCAAACCTGAGTGGTATGAGGGTGGTCCTTAGGGGAGGGGGTAGATGTAGCTTAGCGCAAAGGTCCTGGGTTCAATCCTCCGTACCCAAAACAATAACAACTGAGCAATCTCTGCTCTCAGAGCACACTGGGGGAATCAGACTGGAAAAAACACACAATAGAGTAAAATAAAGACGCGATACAGAAAATGCTGGCTTTGGGGCCACGCATTTGCCCTGTGAAAAATGTGCCCAGAGCTTGGGAGGTTTGTCATTCAGACATTGTGGCGTGTGCAAAATGGAATATATGATGTAGCTGAATCATCTCTTGACAGTCTGGATCCAGGAGATTATCTATCTATCTATCTATCTATCTATCTATCTATCTATCTATCTATCTATCAATCTATCATCTGTCTGAAGCACTAGTGTGTTTGCCATTTTCCTGGATAATATGTAAGTCCCCATCCTTGGCCCAGAGCAGGGACCTAGTCAAGTTTTGCCGCATTGGATCGGATCGACCTATCTGTAGGGGGAAGGTAACTCATGGCTGGAGGACACACTCTGAGAAGTGAGAGTGGTTTCAGCCTGGAGGGCCAGGGAGATGCTGCCAGAGGCTTGGGATAGTGGGCAAGTAGGAAGGAAGGAAGGGAGGGAGGATCAAGGGTAGTTTCTCTGGCAGGAGGCAGAGAGGTTCTGGCTGATTCCTGGGTTAGCTCTTTCCTCATGGTCTGCAGAGCCTTTGCTTTTGTTACTGATAGAGTTTCACTCACGTGGGCTGGCCAAGTGAGTGCATTCCTTGCCTCCTCCTTAAGAAGTTTTCAGCCTGCGGCATAGCCATGTGCTGGGTGCTTGAGGCCATCCCAGTTCATTTCCCTGAGCTCAGTGCATCCTCAGTCTGTCCACTGCTGCTGTGGATATTCACTCACAGGTCACCTCCAAGTCCTGTCTTCTCCTATGGCAGAAGGTGAAGTTGAATATGTAGCAGTTTTCTCAGGCCCTGCCTAGCCATCTGAGGTTCTAGACCCCAAGTATCCCAGTCCAAGCCCCTGCTGACCCATATATGGTAAGTCCTGTAATGTGCATTTATTAAGTGCTTATAGCATGAAGAACCCTGGATTGGACCTTGGGCTAAATAACAATGTCTCTAAATAAAATAATGTAGTTGTTTCCAAATCTGTAGATTTTAACCATTCTAATTGAAGGATGGATGTAGGTTGGACTATTCTTATTTTGCCAAGAATAGACTTCCTAAACATCCTGTTTCATCATGTTATGTAATAAAAAAAGAGTATGTTAAGTCAGAAAAGGGAGGACGGCATTCCGAAGTTTAAAATAAAAATGTAGCCACATAAAGAATTCAGTGCTTATTTTTCTCCTTCATCTCAGACTGGTAAGAGAATCATCATGAAACAGAGCCCTGCCCCGGGCCTCAATTATAAGACCTGTACCTTCTTCAAGGACATTGAACAGCCCTGTGATACTCAGGATGTGTCAACTTGAGTAAGAGACATCCAGCTGATTGGATTAGCATAGTTCTGGGTGTGGCTGAATGTATCTACTGAAGACAGAACACCACCACCCCGGGTGTGAGTGTCACCAGCCAATAGGCTTGTAACCTGAACGGAATAAAAAGGCAACAGATGGAGGAAGTCTTGTTTCAGTTTCTTTGGAGGAGTTTGTCTTCGTTATTGCCTTGGGATGTCCATCTCCAGGCTTCCAGCTCAAACTCTTCAGCCTTCTAATATAGACACTTCTGCTTCTGATGAGACTCTGCAGGGAGCTCCAAGTCTTCTACCTATGCAACTGGAGTGTTTGGCTCTCCAGTGCTCAGACAGTCCCTTTTGAATTCTTGTACACCCGACTCTGCAAGTGGCCATTGTAAGCCTTCCTTGTAAATCATATATATTCCTTGTTTAATGACCTACTTGTTTAATGAGTGTTCAGACTTAAAACCTGCTGCTCCGACTTAGACTTATGACCCCTCTTTTTTTTTTTTTTGGTAAAGTTCTGTACATCTTGTTTATGGAGCCTCAGTCTTTTTTTGAGTACAGTATACCTTTTTTATAGGGTACTATAGTTTTTGTTGATTGCACCATACAGTACAGTACTGTAATTTTATGTTCCATTGCATATTAAAGTACTGCATGTAAGAATTATGCAAAGAAAAGCAAATCAATAAGTTAGAGTTTCCTTTGACTGTTTATTTGTTCTGAATATTGTAATGTACATACTATATACAATTCCTCGTTTAGTGATCAATTCATTTAATGTTCTAGTCACAGGAACAAACCAGAAAAAATCTATATCTATATCTATGTCTATATCTATATCTATCTATAATCTGTTACTCTAGTGAGCCCTGACCAAAGTGCCCTCCGGGATGAGGTGGGTCCAGAAAGCTGGAGTAAAGTTAGAGTAGGGGTGGGTTGAGGCCCTTCTCCTAGTGCCTAGCAAAGAAAACTAAGGAGAACCAGAGGCCGGCGAAGGGCAGTTGTCTGACATCATTTGTTTCCATCTGAATGCTTTGACTTGTACACTAGGCTCTGTGGGTTGCGGGGAACTGGCCAGACAAGCTGATCCTTAGTGACTTGCAGGAGCTTCTTCTGTCACTGGCCATGTGCTCTTGGAATTTGATTTGGACCACTCTGGGTCCTTGGTTCACTGGGCTAACATGAAGATCAGCATTCATGTAGCAAGTGTACAGCTGTGTCTTCACAGGGGCTTCTTTTAAAGAGTTGCTAAATGTTTCAGGATCCAAAGCAGTAGCTTGTGTCCTTTGGCTCCACATTACATACCAAGAGACCAAAGACTGTTGAAGGGATGAGACCCTGGACTTGTATGCACAGTGTGACACTATGGTCCAGGTTCCTGACTCCCCCAGCCCCTGGAGTCCTTGCTCCATATCCCACAGCCTCCAAATCTGCTTCCAATCTGAGATCTGCCCAGGGATGGCATTTTTCTCCCAGCCTCTTGCCCTTTCAGGCCTTTGCTCTCTCAACCTGACCGTGACATTTCCCATGGGCCACTGCATTCCTCACGTTTAACTTAATGACCGCACTATCTCTTCAGGTGGTGGCAGATCTCGACATGAAGCACAGTACAGACACCATTGCTCAGGCTCTGAGGTAGCCCTGGCAAGGATTCCCTGGTACTGGGTGGTAGAGACCAACATTGACCCTCCCTCTGCATTCCTATCATCTTCTATTCCAAAGGCCAGAAGGAACCTCCTCCTCTGGAAAGATTACTCCCCTGTTGGCTCATCTAGGCTTTGGGGGCTCCCTTGGCTTCCCATTGGCACCTCCCCTCACCACCAGTTTCCCTCCTGCCTCTTTCCAGGGTGAGGATTAGGGGCAGGCCTGGCTCTCCTGAATTTCTGGAAAACCTGTCTCTTGCTTCCCTCCTTCCCACCCTTTATATCCTCCCTGGCTCTGGCCCTGGGCCCCAGGTTCTTTCCCTCCCAGCTTATCTGCCTCAGGATCTGACCTGCATGTGCACTCGCTACTCTGCGTGCTTCTGACCCAGGGATGGCACCACCGCCCAGCCTGCGTGCCCCGGGGCCACCTCCGGCCTATTCTCCCTCCCTTTAAAAGCCCCCATGTCTTGAAGCTGATTAAAA